ACACATAGGCAGGTTGTTTGTTAAAATACAGAAACAAGAAGAATATCTTCTTGTTCTATTAATGGATGTGACAGAACATTTACCATCCTGAAGATGACTACTGTCCCTGCTTTCAAATCACAGTTTTGCTTTGTCCCTGTACTTACATTGTGTCTGTTTGGACAGAAACTGAACAATGATGTGTAAGTTCTCCATAAATTAATGTGCCAATGATGCTGTATTCTCATCTTTATTTGGGGACTTCACATGCAACTTGGAGCAGCCACTGAGAGTCATTTATTGAAGGTGTTGCACTTACGATGTTCTAGATCCTGAATTTGGCCTTCTTTTGCTCTTACTCCTCAGTCTTCAAAGTGCTACATGGAAGTTCCTGAAACCACATTAAGCTATATTTTGATGGGCCTCATATGCTATATCCAAATCTCCCTTTCAGTGTTTTGATGGTGGTTTCAGATACTTTAGTGCAGTAACATGAAGGAGTCAGTTTCCCTACTTAGATCTCACATTCTTAGATCTTGGCCAGTGGTAGAAGGAAAACCTTCTCCTTGCACCAAAGTTTGCATGAAACCATGCAAAATATTATGATTTTCCTTCAAAGACTCTTATACTGTCTGTCATTCAGAAAGAGGAGTGGCAGCTTTATTATTGGAAATTCTTAATCTCTTGACTGGTGGCAAACTTTCTATATAGAATGGTGAATTTGAAATGCATTCGTCCTTTAGTTCTTGGAGCTGAACACTTCAGCTGTGTGACATGGAAAGTCCTGATCATCTGCTGATGCTTGGTTGCACTGATTGAAGGCAGTTTAAACAATACTGCTGGTTTGTCCTTATGAAAATCAAGTTAGGCTCATCCTTCTGTTTTGTGCACAGAGTGCATCAGTTGAGCTTGTGTGGTGTAATCATAATTCTCCTCAATGAAATAACCGTGTCCAGCATTTGCTGAAAAACACACTGAGGGAATAAAAAAAAGCTCTAAATGCTGATGGATGTGAACAGGACACTGCAAAGTATTTCCTTCTGATGAGTCCAAAACCAATACTTCAGGTCTTGCATGACAGCTTGGAGCTAGTTTATCTCATGTTGTTGAGTCTGCTGGCGCCACACAGAAGTAAGCATTTAATAGTAAGAGAAGTGTCTGAGCAGGAGAAGACGATCCCTTGTAAGAGGAGGAGCTGCTGCTATCTGCAAAAGGGACAAGCCAGGAAGAACTCCAGATGAACAGGAAGAAACCCTTTCTCTGGAGACAATCTCCTTCAAGCCTTGTCCTGGGGATGAGAAAATGCATGTGCTCCAACGAAGCAGCTGTGATGGTATGAGGAGTCTCCTTTCTATAGGCAGAAACCATTGGGAAGGTGGTGGGAAGGCAGAGCTCATCCTAGCAACCCTGGTTTGACAGTGATATGTTCCACCCCTTCAGGGAAAGGTAGATGTGAGGAAATAAATGCAAGGTTTAGCAGAGGAGACCCAGTAAGAATAAACCCTTTCTTAAGTTATTGTAAATCTCATTATTTCTGGACTTGAAGTGCAACTTGTGTGTGTGCATCTGAGAGGTTTTGAGAGTAGTATAATTCTATACACTCTGCCTGAGGGTGTAGGACATGAAGTCCATGGGCTCTGCATTAGCTTTCCTTTCCTATGGCCTCTGTCAAATGAAGGGCATTTTGGGAGTATTGTCACACTGACTTATTTCTAAAAGCATATCTTTGTTCAGGGCACAAAAGTAGCTGTGAGCTTTATATAAAAGGCTGTAGAAAGGTGATTTCTGAAAGCTCTCCTGCTCACTGATAAGGAAACAATCTCTGTAACAACAGCTTTATGCCAAATTTAAATGTGGTAGCCTCCTTCCCTCCAGCCTGCCCCTTTCCCTATATTTTGGGCTGTTTTGCTGGCACACAGCAGGCCCATGGGTGTGTTTGCAATTACAGAGGGTGAAACAGGAACAGCTCTGCCTTATCTCCCTGGTTTCCCAATGTCACTAAGCGCATTTTATTTTGAGATTCCTCATGGTGCTTGGCAAAGATAAACAAAATCTTCCATCAGGAAACCTGGGAGCTATTTCCACAGGAAGCTTCAAATCACTAAAGTAAATAAAACCCTTTTACATTATTCCCAGCCACATTATTTAGCTAGCCTCAGCCTGTAACAATTGGTGAGAGGTGTCATATATTAGGGGGCTCGTAGCCTTTAAACAAATGATTCTCTTGGAATCCTATGCATTTTGCTTTTGTCCCTGGATTTATTCAGAGAATAGTCTTTCTTCACACAAGACACATCTAGGAAGAGCTCTAGACTTGGTGACATGGAAGTAGTTGCAACTGTATTATTCTGTTGGCACGCTATCTTTTTACGTTAAAAATAGCCTCCGTCCCAGGGGATCTTTAGTTTCATCTTAAGAGTTTTGCTTGGCTCTTCCTGGCTTTTACTGAGCACTGGCATCTACAAAAGCCAAAAATTAGCAGTATTTCAGACCCATACCCTAGCTTTCCCAACACATATAACAACAATTTGAGATGTACCGTAAGATGCAGCAATTTCTTTCATCCAAATACTTCTCCACAATGAAAACTTTGGACCCTTGATTGGTTTTAAGTGTGTCTGAATTCAGTGGTTTTTAACAAAATCACCTAGAGGATTGACTTCATCTAACTTAAGCCTTAAAGTTAGGTATCTAAGCCTAAGCTGGTCATGTAGGATCTCTTCATAATTAAGTGTGAGGGATCAGGGTCTCTGGAACTTGCCTCATCTTAAGGTGATTGGTTGTGTTGTCGTCTGGAGATGCATGTGCCACTCCATGGGCTGTAAACTTTTGCCCATACTCAAAGCAATTATATACAAGGAGATTTGCAGAAGTTTTGATAGCTTAGGCTAAATATGCTCTGCCCCATGTAAGGAACGGTTTCATGTCAGTAGCACTTCCAGTTGACATACTCTTAACTGAGATCAGAATCTGGCACCATGGGCTCTTTTATTTCAGAAAAGATGCTGGTGATAGTCACTCAAAGATGATTTCGCTAAATTTAAAGCTTTTCTTATAGTTTTCTTTGCTGGCGAGAGGAAAAGAGGGGATCCAAACTAAATGTAAGAGGAACAAGTCAACACACAGGCTTTAATATCAAGTCCAGTAGGTTAGTGTCACTGCCTCCATCAGGCTGATCTTTGGACCACATACCTGCACTACAGTTGGTGACAGGCACATACTTTGCTCCCACAGCAAGGGCACAATGAGTTCATCCAACAGAAATCAGGCCTCTCCCTGGAAGGCATCTACAGTCAGAGGAAATTTCAATCCAACACTTGCAGGAGCTCTACCCTCAGTTTAATGCTCAGTGTGGGAAAGGAGATATTAAGGAGAGCAACTGATGCCAGATTTCCAGCAAGGCAGAACTTTGTTTGAAAGATAACAGTAAGCAGGTCATATTCGTGGTCACCCTGGGGAAGCAAAGCAGCTCAGTTTGTGTTGTGAGGATTTAGAAATAAGCTTTCTCATGAGTTGGTCAATCAATGAAAGAGTTTACTGAAAGATGTGGGATATCATTCACTGGAGATCTACTCTTTATGTGTCCCTGCTGATGTGACATTAAACCTGAAGTGACATTGGTAAGTGTGAAACTGAATGGAAGTCAACATTGAGCTATTCATGCTCTAAGAGACAAGAAAAGAAGGCATAATTCTCCCTTATGAAAGACAAAGCCATTCTTACGATTTTGAGTCAAGTTCACAGCCAAGTGCTGTAGCAATTAGCAGTGAAAGAACAATTGAAAATGGCCAAAGTTGATGTCGCTTGACTGAGAAGAAGGAAATGACTTTATCAGAATATTGGCTACAAATAAACCAAGAGAGGTTGCGCTCTAAGAGTAAAACTTGGAAGTGCTCTCCCGCAGGAACTTGTTTCTACTTTCACTGAGGTCAGTAGTGTAACTCTCTCTTGCTGGAGGGACGAGCCCCAGGTGGAGGGGCCGGAAGGTGACTGGCACCACCGCAGGTCTGCCCCACTCCCCAGCTGGAGGAAGCTCCAGGATAAACTGCAAACGTGACTTTGTTCAAGTATGACCTTTACATTGTTGGCTAAATTGTTCCTGCCTGGGCTATCTGCTGTGAAAAATCCTCGTGAAAACTTAAGTCGTATTTACACCTAGTAAATGGTTAGTGCAATGATCCTTGATTCCTCTCAGGTGGAGATATTGTTCACTTGTGTTTAATGCCAAGCAGCCTGAATAGAGTGATCTTCATGCTACTGCTGCCCACACACAGCCACCACCCATGCCACAGGGTGCTCCTGCTTTCCTCTTGCATGACTGACATGCTTTAAATGCATGGAGGGTAAATATCTCAGATCCAAGAGAAATCTCAGGTGTGTAATCACAGATTCCGTAATTTCTCAGGGTTTGAAACATTTTTAAGAAATAGACATAATTTCTTTACTGTGGATGCATTTCTGTGTGGCTGCCCTAGGGGATCCTGCTCTGGCAGGGGGTTTGGACTAGATGATCTTTCAAGGTCCCTTCGAACCCCTAACATTCTATGATTCTATGATAACTTGCCTGAATACTTATGATTAACAAGAAAACAATATAAGCAGACATGATGAGTTACAGTATTTTTCTACTGTCCTCCTGAGATTCATTTTTTCTCATGCAGCTCACAAGCTGGAGCTGAGATCAGAATTTTCCTCCTTTTTCACAGTCCCGCACTGCTGTCTCTAAATAATTCTGCTTTTGGTACCTTGCCCCAGTCTGTCTGAACTTGACGTAACATTTATACAAACTGATTACTTCCAAGAACTACTTCAGTTTACACCAACTGATGTCTGAGCCCAAGTGTCTCATAGCTCAAAGACAAATTAAAAGAATAGCTGGAGCCTAGCATATGAAAGGAAAGATTAGATACTTCAGCAAAAAGACGTTGATTAGTTCAAAGGCTTCCTGATAAAGGGAAAAATATATGCCGTGATAATTTTGGCTTGTTCATTTCATATAAACTAAAAAGTGTTCTTGATTTTTGACAGATGTACCAAGTGGCTTCCATATTAGTTTGGAAAAAATGCCCATTGAAGGAGAGAATTTGATACTGTCCTGTTCAGCCAACAAATTCCTGTACAAAGACATTGCTTGGATTTTACCGAGGACGGTCAACAATCAAACGAAAGTGAGAAGGTCTCTCAAGAAGGAGTACTCCTCCACCCTCACTCTGACCATCAAGAACGTTTCCCTGGCACACTCGGGCACATATGCCTGCCGAGCAAGGAATATATACACGGGGAAAGAAGTGCTTCAAAAGAAAGACGTTACAATCAGAGGTGAGCACTGCAACAAAAAGGCTGTTTACTCTCGGATCCTCAAATATAAAAGCACAAGGAATGATTGTACAGCACAAAGCAATGTAAAACATTAAAGGACTCATTAAACAGTAACAGGTGTCTCATATCATCTTGATTTTTTATTACTGTTACTACCTTTCAGGCCCTGAGGTGGTGCACATTCCCCCATGGGTTGGACATAGGAGGAATAGCAAACAAAATCGTAACGCGTGAGCTTCCAGTTGAGTTCAGACGGGTGTTTTCTGCTTTGACAAGGCATGTGGAAGCTGGGATTTGGAAGATCCCCTGTGCTACATTTTGCATGTTGTTATTTTGTCTCTTGCTGTCTCCTCATGAGCGATAAGGAAAACTTTGGACCAATCTTTTCTTCCACTTTGATATCGGCCTCATCAAAAGTGTCAAAGCTGAATAAACTGATTAACTTTTAAAACTGCTGTTTTCAGTCAACAACGGACATTTAATAAGTTAACTTGAATGTGCGGAGTGAGCACAATTCAGTTTGAGATTGACTGGACTATATATTTTTTATTTTAATCTGATCTTGATGGACTTATAAATATTACCTGCTGAGCAAGTTCTAATGCTTATTTATTTGAAATTATTTTCTACACTAAAGTACATTAATCTTAAGAAGTATCTTCTAAAAGAAGTATGCAGGGAAGAAATAAAAATGTTGATATAATGCACAGACCTATCATATCTTTTATAATAATGATGATTTTAAGACTGACAGACGTGAACCATGTTTCTCCAAATAAATCCAGGTAGACTTCAAATTGCTGTGTTGGTCAATTTTTAAAGTCAGTTCTGCACTAATGTAAAAATCTACTGATATAAGTGTGAGTATTGCTCCTGGCCTGAAGATTCAGGAATTTATAATGTATTTATTTTACTAAATGAGAAATATTACGCTAACATGACTGACAAGGTTGCAGCCAGCACAGTGAGTTGTTTAATAAGTTTTTTAAAATGCAAATTCAAAATTGAAGCCATTAAAAATATTCATTGCTTTTGGTGTGCAAATGACAATTGGATTTATTACGGGGATTAAGAACCAGCCAAACTGCTGAAGGAGAATTAAGGGCAACCTAAGACTTCCCTGTGATCATTTCCCCTTTCATTTCCTTCACCATGATATTGCTATGAGATGTTTCTGTGTATTATAAATTCTGTATAAGGAAGAAGTTACTATTTTTAATAGATCTGATAACTTTATTTTTTTACAATACATAGCTTTTATTATTTTTGGTTACATTTATGATTGATCATTTATATAGCATTTACATAAGCCATAACAAAACAGACCATAGTGACCAAAATAGTTACAGCAAAGGAACAAAGTGGCTGTTCTTTTAAAATAGAGGGTGACAACATGACAGTTTCTTACGCTTGGGAACTCACAAGAGTATTTCCTCCTTTAGGTATCGAGGCTGTGTCCCACGGCTAAACTTGTCTTTCACGTGGGAATTGCTTTTGTCAAGTGTGAAAGGGTAAACAATAGCATTTCCCCATAATGCCATTTTCATGGAGCCTAAAATGCTTAGAAAACAATTGATAACCTGGAAGTTGTCAGAATAAAGAAAAGAATGATCATTTGTATCTTGAAATGTCACCTATAGCCTGCTTGTATACAGTAGGTCTTTTGTTTATTATTAGTGTGATGGCTTCCAGAAACAATGTGTTCTTGCAAAGGGATCTGGCTCTTTTTTTTCCCAAAACATGCGTAAAAAGCAAGCGAAATCATTGGTGACTGCTTAAAAATGGGGCAAGAATGCTCTTTAGCATTTGCAAGTCTTCAGAAGAATCACAATGCAGAATCCCCCTTTTTACGGGGCTATTTTGTGAGAAGACGTTTGATGTCAAGGTGGGCGGTGATGACAGGACGTTATGAATTTTCCATGGCCTTGGGAGCTACTGGAGCACTATGACTTGTAGTAGCCAGTTGCCAGGCAATACGAATTTGGATCAAAAAACAGAGAGATGTGGCGATTAGCTGTGGTGAATCACAATGATGTGTATCACCACTGGGGGAATGTCCTGTCAGCCTGGTCTTGACCGGCGCTTGGAGGACCATGCTGTACGAGGGTGTCCTAACATCCTGATGTGGCTGCCCGTGTTGGGAGACACAGAGAAACCTCACTGGAAACGTTTGAGGAAAGCGGTTCTTTGTGGCCAGATAAAAACTACTGATGTCACTTTTGATGTCCTCAGATGACTGGAGAATCTCATCAGTCTGGGGAGTTTCTCTACCTTCTGTTGTGTAATATGTTATTTAGGGAGAAAGGTGTGAATTATATTTCTTTTTTTTAAAAAAGAAAGTGTTAAAATTAAAGCTTGTATTTATATTTTTGTACTGATTAATAAATGTAAGTGAACAGACAACATAAGCGTAACAAAGGCAAAAAAGGACGGAATGCAAAAGTAAACCCCAAAATGAACAAATTGTAATGTTTTCCCCTTGTTTGTGTTCGAACTTGCAAATTTTACCTTCTTACCGCCCTGAGGGGCAGCTGAGTGCTCTAACACCAGTGTCCCCTTCTGCCCTATGTGACCCCTCTATTGCATCCCTGGACCAAACTCTGCCTACAATGAAGTTCCTCAGGGTAACTGAGAGCAGAGTTTGGGCCGGCAAGGCAGCATTTGGGGCCAGGCACAAGGGCTGGGGACAAGCTCATGGGGCTGCTCTGGGTGCTGAGCCCTGCACTGTGTGTGCTGGAGGCCAGGGCAGCCCCTCGTTTTTGGGATGAGCGGAGCGGGGTGTTGGGAACCACCCCCATTGGCTTCACTGTAAAAATGAACAGGAAAAAACAGGTGGTTTGCAGAAGAGAATAAACCTCAGGTCCTTGAAAAATCAGGAGAGAAATTATTGAAAGTATGTGAATGGTGACTTAAGTTTTAAGCAAAAAAAGCTTTTCTTAATATGAAACCCCATCTTTAGTGTATGACTATAAACAAATTAAAATTAATCACAAATAACTCACAGAACGTGTGACTTGCCTTTGTTTTGTCATCTTGTCCGCCGTCATTTTGGATGTCTGGGCTGGGATCTCCATCAGGGACTGCTAATAAATGTGAACTGTGGAGCTCTTCTCAGCGTGTGTATGTGGACATGCATCGGACAGTGTCTGTTCACAGACAGTGTTGTGAAAAACAGGAACTGTGCAAAAAATCAAGGTGAGGTATCAGTGAAAAGAGGGCATTCTCCTTGTCTGCAAGGCAAATGTCATTGACTATGTCATTGTGAAGAATTTACTTAACAGTGTCTCTCATGAGCTTTACTGTTTGGGAAGAGAGAACAAATTGTCTACTACGCTGTAAACAAAAAATAGCATTGTCTGTGGAAATTACAGACTTGCAGCTCAGAAAACCCCAAACTGGTCATTGCAGGGTCATGACTGTGCGGGAATTAATTTCAAGGGGTAAGAGCATAGCAAAGACAGCCTACTTTAAACGTGCTTTTAGTACTACAGGTCTTACGCACTCTGCATAAACTGGTGGTACATAGGTGCTTAATTTTGCTGCAAATTTTTTCTTTGCAACTGATTACAGAATGATTGTGAAGATAGAACTGTCTGATAATCAGTCCTTCTGAAAGGATAGAGAATAATTTTCCAAACACAGAATGTCAGAAATTCAGTGAATGTTGTACTTGAACTTGGTGTGTTGGTATCTATTGCAGTCTAAAAGAATATATTTGCAAAGAGTTGGTTTCTACGTTGTTTCATATTTTGTATTGTCTGTTTTACCATGTTAGTAACTGCTCATCCTGGCAATGTCCTGCAAGGGA